GCACGACAACTCCATCTTCATCAGTTCACCCGCTCCTCGACTTCCGTCCACCTGCTTACACCCCGCCGGCTGGACTGCCTGTGCCCGGGACGTGCTGCTTACTGTCGGCATAGCAGTACAACCCGGACAAACGCCACCCGGATGAGCTTGGCTCTCCCGCCCGACTGAATTCCGCTCAAGTCCACCTCCTCGAAGGTCGCGGGGTGCCCGCACACCCGCTCCTTGCCTCTCTATCGCTCCTGAACCTGCCCTGCACCATCCACGCTCTCTTACACCCGCATCCTGCAACGCCGTCCGACGCCATGACCGTTGCCGCAACTCCTCTCACACCCCACGACGTCCGCCTCGCATGCCGCAAAGGAACCTGGAAGGAGGCGTCGACAGCAGGCATCTGCGAGGGCTACGTCCAGGCGAACCTCATCATCCTTCCCGAACGATATGCAGCCGACTTCCGCGCCCTCTGCGCCCGCAATCCCGTTCCCTGCCCTCTCCTCGGCGAGACTAAGCCTGGCAACCCTACTATCCCTGCACACCTCGCCAAAGACTGCGACATCCGCACCGACGCTCCGCAGTACAACGTCTACCTGAACGGCAAACTCGTCGAGACGAAGCGGGATATCAAGAACGAATGGAAGGAGGACTCGGTTGGCTTCCTTGTCGGGTGCTCGTTCAGCTTTGAAGCGGCGCTGGTAGAGGGGGGATACACGCCGAGGCAGATCGAGATCAAGCGGAACGTCCCCATGTGTGCGTCCGCTTTTCGTACTTTCGCCTTACCGCTTGCTGACTTGCTCATTCTCGAGCAGACAAGACCAAGGTGCCGCTCTGCGCTGCTGGTGGTGCGTCGCGTCTCTCTCTCTCCTCTGAATCGATCAGGCTGACAGTCTGTTTAAAGCCCTCTCCGGCAACATGGTCGTCTCGATGCGCCCTTACCCTCCCTCCGCCATCGAAACCGTCCGCGACCTCACTCGACCATTCATCCGAGCGCATGGCGAGCCCGTCGCATGGGGACCGGAAGGCGCAGCGGCGCTCGGCGTCGACGATCCGACGGGTGCGAACCCGGACTTTGGCGAGGCGAGCGAGGTGAGGGAGGGCGAGGTGCCGGTGTACTGGGTGCGCACGCTTTCACAACCTCCGTGCTCAGCTCGACTGACCTCTCGCTTGACCAGGCTTGCGGTGTGACGCCTCAGAGCGTCGTCATGGCGAGCAAGATCGAGGGAGTTGTGCTGGGACACGCGCCGGGACACATGCTTGTGCTCGACATGCGTGACGAGGATGTGTGCAAGTAGTGGGAGTCGCTGCAATGACGCTAGCTGGACGCTTCACGGTCAAGCATTCTTCGCGGGCAGCTTCGTGACCATTCCCGAGCAGATGCGTCTGCGTCTATTTGAGGCTGCTGCGGATCTGCGAGAAGCGACGGAGCAAATTTGAACCCCCAGAAGCTCAGAAAGGGAACACGCATCTCGAAGGAATGGAAGCTCTCGACTGGAGGTTGCCGCCAGCGAAGGGGGAAGAGGAGTCGCTCGGCTGTATCCCGCTCGCTCGTCTTCAGGCGGCGTACATGCCGAGGAGCGCTTACTCTCAACCCGCTAAAGGCGATCCGAAGCGTGGCCGTCGTTGCGAACAGACGCGGCGTTGCAGTCGCCTCGAAGTATACAGCACAAACAATACGGTCCCCATTCGCAGTTCCTCGTCTCCGATACATCACCACACATACATGAACGACCAGTGCGCGTCGCCCGTGACGCCCTGGCGGTCCTGCTCCTCCTTCTCGGCCTCGGTGAGAGCGAGCTTCTTCGCGTTGCGGTGTCGGAGAAGCCAAGTCATGACGGTCATCATGGCGAGGCCGAACGCCATCGAGCCGAGCGAGACGGCGTGTCCGAGGCGGTAGTGCGGCTTGTCTTGCGAGCGGTACTAGGGACAGCGAGACGAGCGTGAGTTCTGACCTTCGCAAGTACTGGTCCGCGACTCACGATCTGACCGGCAATTACTCCGCCAATATTACCAATGAGCTGTTGAATACCAATGGCTGTCGAGCGCTTCCGGACGCCTGTGGGATTGAGAGCGGATCAAACTCGAGGACGAGGAGGTGTAGGAGGAGCAGAAGGGCGACGGAGAACCACACTCGTCGAACTTACCGGCGATGTTGCTGTTGAGCCAAGAGACGTTGATACCGACGGCGGTGTAGATGCCAGCTGCAAGGTGAGGGAAGAAGATGCGTCAGTTCGAGAGTCTCCTCAAGCGAGACGAGGTCAACTCACTTCCGCAGAGGAAGCAAGCGAAGAGCGAGACGGCGGTCGAATGCTGGACCGCAACGAGGAGGATGTAGCCGATGCATGTGACGAGGCCGAGGGGAAGGATGAGCCAGTATCGAACGTCCTTTTTGTCGCAGATGTGCGCGGCGGCGAGGTAGACGATGGCGGCCCAGGCGTAGATGGGTGCCGTGAGGAGTTGCGAATTGATCGTCGAGTAGCCGAGCGCCTTGACGATGACGACGATGAATGTCGAGAAGCCGTAGAGGCAGATGTCGAAGCCCAGCTGGGTGAGGCCGGAGAGGTAGACGATCGGTTCGGTGAACGCCTTGCGGACCTCCGCCCACGAAAATGCGTCTGCGCCGGTGTACTGGCGAGCCTGGAGGTCGCGGACGCGCATGAGGAGCTTCTGGCGAGGGGAGAGGTACCAGGCGGATGCGGGCGAGTCGGCGATGAAGAAGATTGAGGCGAAGCCGATGAGAATGGTGATAGCGCCCTCCCAGATGTACAGGTGTCTCCATCCTTCCAATCCGAGCCGGCCGTCGAGTTTGAGGAAGCCGGCGCCGATGAGGCCGCCGACGACTCCGGACGTTGCCGCCGAGACGAACATGAGCGACGTTCGCCATGCCAGCTCCATTCGTTGGTAATAGAAGGTCAAAATGAGGAACAAGCACGGTGTAAGTGCCGACTCGAGGAAGCCAAGGACGAGTCGAAGAGCGACGAGCGAGGCGTAGTTGTGGATGAACCCGTTCCCGAGGACGACCGCTCCCCAGACAGTCGTCACAGCCTGTCAAGGCATGGCGTCAGCGTCACTGTGGCTTGTGCAAGAGCGGAGAGAGGTGCCGAGTCTGCCATATCGGCAAAACGGCGGCACGACTGTCTCTTCGCCTACGACGGCTGCTTTGTCGTACCGGCAAGAGAACGGAAGGTCTGGCGCTCTTGAGGAGGGTCGTCCACATCGGTTCGCTGTAGAGTACAGTATCCAGGCGAAGTCGGCGGGCAAGACGACCGGGGAGACGGATGAGGAAGATGCCGAGGCGGATGAGGTCAAGGTTAGCTGGCAGATCATTGCTTCTGGACTAGCCACCTTCAATGAAAGTGTCACGGACAAGCTGACGTAGGTTGCATAGAAGATACTGGTAGTGACCCTGTGGAGGGAGTGCGAAGCGCGCGAAGCGCGTTAGAGTGAGTTTCGAGGTTCCGGGTCCTGCGATGGCCTCCGTTCCGCTGAAGCAAAAGGCGTGACGCCAGGAAAGCAAAGCGGAGGCTGCGGAGAGGGGCAGGGATGCGAGGTGAGCAGCGGAACGCACGAAAGGCCATTCTTGGGGGCGCCGATGTCGACGAACATCCCGCCGGTCGAGGCATTGCCGATGTTGGAGCGGTCGAGGAAGGAAATACTGTGAGTTGAGTACGAGAATCAGCGAAAGTCAGGAGCACTTGAAATGAGGGAAGGATTCGTACAGGTAGAGGATCTGCGGGAGGAGGGGATTTTCAGCTAGCCTCACGAGACTTGAGGCGGGAACAGCGGACGCACCATGACCATGGGTGCAAGGAAGGAGTCTAGGCGACGCAAGAGCGAGCGAGTCTCCTGAGGGGAGATCTGGTAGGCGAGAAGTTCCTCGTCCGACGAGTTCTCGTCGATGTCCTTGACGGCGTAGGCGAGGCCAGTCGCGTTGAACTGACCCTTCTCAGCATCATGCTCTTTGACGCCAGCTGAAGAAGTTGTCGACATCTTGCAGGAGGAGAGGAAGCGGCGAAGGGAGAGTATTGTCGAGGAAGGGCGTCGTGAGACGACTGTCGAGGCAGGTCAAGGGTACCCGCTGCTCGTCGGCGATAAGGTGCGTCGTTTGGAGGAGAAAGAGAGCACGCAGGAGAGCAGGCGGTGAGGGTTCCCCAAACTTGCGAGATAGCGACAGAACGGAGGCGGGCGAGTCGTGCGGGGCGTGGGCCTGCGCGGACAACGACGTGTGCTGCTCCAGACACGCCGAGGAAGTTCAACGGAACCAGCCAGCTCTAGCCGCAGTGTGATGAGCGGAACTCGACTCGTTGGCGGAGCGGAAAAGACACGGCGGCGGCCGGGATGCGATGAAAGCTGGGCCTCCACATCCGCGATTAGCCGCCGGTAATGCTTGCAGTTGTATTCGAAGTGTAAGGAGACTTTGTATTTAACGAGGCGAGACAGAGCGAGAGGCGGAGACCGGAGTAACGGCGATAGATAAGGCATTGCGCAAGTCTACTACGGCTGTCCTGCCCCTGTACCAAACGCAGACCATCCTGACGGTCCATGCGAGCCACCGAACGGAGGCTGGCCGAAGAAAGTCGAGTAATCGACCTCCATTCCGCCGCCATAGACCGCCTCTCCCGCTCCCCGTCCCTCCGTGCTCAGCAAGCCAGCAAAGACGTCGTCGGCGAGAGGTTGCTGCATCGGTGCTGCTGAAGAGGAAGAGGCTGGCGCGGCGAAGAACGGCCAGGAGCCGAAGCGGTCGAAGGGATTCGAGGAGGGTGAGGAGGCGAGCTGAGCTGGGAAGGGTGCGTGGACGGGCGGTGCGGTTGAGAAGGGCAGTTGTGGCGGGGGGGGG